ATTATGTGTGTGCTCTGGTTTATTCTGCAATTTACCCCAAAATTTCTGTTGCCTCTGGTAAAAGGCAGTTTTAAAAAAACCGTGGATGAATTAATTGGCAGAGCAGAATGAATAAGATTGATTTACACAGCAGGATAGCTAATGATATTTTAAGAATATTTTAATGTCTCTTCTGTAGTTTTGGTAAATATGTGTGTGAATAGGTGGGGCAGTGGGAAGTGGTACAGAACTGTCTATTGATTTAGGATTCAGTATATTTAAAACACAAAAATCATTAATAAATTCTCACCTGCTTGTTTGAAAGTTTAGATGTTGGAATGTAAACTCAAGTTATGACTCAGCTTCCATAACTCTGTGTTTGTAGGGTCCTGCAATCTATTTATTTAAATCAGTTTCTGATGGCCTCTGCGCAGTTCCTCTGAGCTGTACTTGGCTGGATTCAAGGCAGAAGTTACTAAGGAATCTTACCACTATTTTGGTTGGCAGGTGTAGTTTACAAGTGATTAAAATAAACTGCAAAGATGAGTTGCTTATTAAACCAGACCATGACCTCTCTTGAGGCTAGGCAAAGTCTGTCATGCAATGCATATAGGTTTATCTGAAGATCAAGAGATTTCATCAAAATGCTCCACCCTGTCCTTATCTAAACTACACATGTCAAATACAATAATGAAAGTATTTTAACACAGAAGTCACTTTGGGTACAGAAATCCACATAATTAAAAAATGAGTCCTGACACATGTCTTCGCTTGCAGATCATCGGGTCTGATTCTAAAAATTTATCTTGCAGGGGAGGAGTCCTCATCGCAGTTGATGAACTATTTGGAGAGCATGCTTCTTTTTGATGAGCCTATGTATAGAAATGCTGGAGCTATTGGATGACAGGCTTCATCTGGATCTGGAAAGATAGAAAGTTCATAACTATTTCTACTTCTCCCATTTGTGGGAGCTGATCTCAACTAAATAGAAGAGGACCACTGGCACTGAAAGGGTAGTAGACACAGAAGTGTAAGCTGGGTTGTGCCAGTCGTGGAGGAGGAAAAAGAATCACAAAATTAACTCTTACGAATTCTTTAAAAGTAACATAAATCAGTTGGTGGCTGCATCATCATGCATATCCACATGGGAGATCTGAAGACAGTTCTTAACTTTAGATTTTTATGAACTTTATTGATTTGTTAATGGCTAATAATTGTCTCCTCTGTTGCTTGCTATAAATTTCCTTAAACAGCGGAGTATTCAGAGCAAGGGTCTCCTTTGCCCAGCTCTGACTGTGACTGAATACATGTTCTGGGGGAGGCATAACACGGGCAAAGCCTGACTTGTAATGCAGCTGGTAGTGCTGCATTTAATAATGCACTAGATTGAGAGAGTAAATAAGAATTGGGAACAGAGGTAAAAATGTGATTGGAAAATCATCTTCTGTTTTAAGTATTATTGAAAAGAAAACAGTAATTTTTACAAACTGGTAGTTAGTGATTTTTTCTGTTGACATAGAGAGGAAAGTAAACTCTGAAGTCAAAGCTCTGGCCTACAAGCATTTTCCTCCAAATTCTAGATATTAATCTTTTTCTTCATAGAGGCCTGTCGAACTCTAATATCCATTCCGTAACATAGTATAATCATCTTGATTAATAATGTGAAAAGAGTTGGGTGTCTGCTTATGCTTTTGAGCCCTTAATAATTTTATTTGCTCTAAATTAGAAGCAGTTCTAAATTAGAAGCAAAGATTAACCATATTGCTACTCTCTTCCTTTCCATCCAAAATTTCCAAAAACTGTAACTGAAAGCCTGGTAGCTACAAAGGGTTCCCTCATCTTCAAGGTGATGGTACGGTTTCTTATTCTTTAGTTTGTTCTGCATTAGTTTCATACATGTACTGAAAGTATTAAAAATAACTTGTGGCTGGTGACTTTTTTGCTTTCCAAGACACGAAGTTGGATGCAGGTTGTTCCTGGCCAGCGCTTGCAGTGTCTCAGTGATGGCCTCCTGTTTGGGACAAAATAAAGGCCCCATTCTGGAAATCCTGTGATGATGGGGCTCTTCTTTTCTTACATACAACTAGAGGATTGTATTCTTTGCCTGTGTAGACCATACAACAAGAGCATAAAACTTCAGTTTGCCATTAGGGAGTCTGTTCTGTACTTGATAATATTCAGCCATTTGCCTTTTCCAAGCTAGGCTGTGAATTTTCATGCATGACAAA